TTATATTTTAGATTTTTTATATTTAAAATGAGATGTTTATCCTGTATTTGATTGTGTTTATCTGCAGTTAGTTACACGAATTCAGATATGGAATGAAATCGGATAGGGATGAACGAGTTTAAGAGTTTTTAAGAGTTTAAGAGTTTTAAGAGTTTTTAAGAGTTTAAGAGTTTTAAGAGTTTTTAAGAGTTTTAGCCAAATGCTTTATAATATAGTATAGATATATTATTTTGTCAATTTTGAGTGTCTTTTGTATGCAAAATTTATTAATGTGTGCTACGTACATTGTTTGTTCAATCTTAGTTTCTATATATTAACGATAGTGTTTTTAATTTTGTCATTTTGAAAAGTATTACGGTTATTTTTCATATATATTGACATACCTTCAGTTATATTAACAGAGTATTAAACTCTTAGTCATATGAAGGTAATTAATGTTTGTACATGTAGAGATAAATGTTACAACATACAACAACGTAATATTTGAATGACCAATGGTTATAATGCATCTATTTGATAAAAATATCAATAAAGATAATTATATAATTAATTAAATTTTAAATTTTATAATTTTACTTATTAATTATAATTAATCGAGACACATAATAATAACATGTATCATGTTCATCTCTAAGAATTGGAATCTTTTTTTTATTAACCTGGATATCCAACATGTTATGCGAGCCGATTAATCACAGGACGACCATATTTTATCGTTCTAAAAACCCGTTTTTATGGTAGTGTCTGTTGTAACATACATATATGCTTTAATTTTGACATTAACTTTTAGATTAATATAAGATTCATGCATGATATTGATCAAAACAATCAATCTTACATAACATACAAATTAAAGTAGAGGCAAGACATATTTTATTTCTCCATTACATAATTATTACCTACTTTGATTATTCATTCAAGCACATAAATCACAAACACAACACAACACAACTGATCTGGCTTCCAAATCCAAATCCAACTTAATTAATATTAATTAGTGGTGGCATGGGCATCCAAATCCTTGATCAGATTGCAAAGATAGTCCATCAAAGAAGTGGGGTATGGAACACTTGTATCTGGCTTCTCAAACTCAAAGGTCCAAGTCGCCACCTTCCCATCACCCTTTTCTTCAACATGCAATATGATTGTAAAGCTCTTGTATAACTCCTCCACTAGATCTCCTCCGATTACCTTGAACACGATCATGTGGTTCGCCTCGTTCACTGCTTCGATTATCTGTTTCGAAGATTTCTTCTTTCCCTCTTTAAATTTGTTTCATCCACAAATTCAAGTTCGTAGGTTATAGCTAGTTAGAAAGCAATGATATATATACATATATAGTAGCAAGCTAGAAAGATTAATTACCATGAGTGTACTGCCAGCAGATGACAGATCCAACGACTCCCCTCTCACCAGCATGTAGTTCACAGTCATGAACCTTATCAGGAGATATGGCAACTATATTGTGCGGGTTGTGCCTGAAGAGATCATGGAAGACATCTCCCTTCTTGCTGATCTCCACATGACCGATTAACTTACCTGATAGAGCCATATATGGATCGATCTGTTGATTATTTACTCCTCAAACCCTTCTTAATTTCAGGAGAGAGTTGGTGAGTTAATTTGTGGAATACATGGCCGAAAGTAACCCTTTATATAGAAAGTTGATGTTGGCCGCCAGACACAAACAATTTTATAATTTGCCAATTGTTTCTTTTAAATGTTTATGTATAACTTGTGCAACACGATATGATATGGTTAACATTGACCATTTTTTAATTTTCTTGTTTTTAAAAGTTGCAATTGAATTTCAAAAACTCCCTCATTTTAGGATTTCACTATTCTTTGGTAAAAGTGATGGAACTAAAATTCATCCAAATTTGTGTAAATGATAAAAATACTCTCATTAGAATTTTACTTCATTTTGAAATTCGTGATTTCATCTATTTTTCTTTCCAAGTTGTTGGTTTGACCATCGGAATATGCCATGAAACTCTACTTTCAACTGTATTTGTAGAGGATTTACACCCACCAAACAACAATAAATGTTTCGTCTTCTTCTTCGGGGTTTCATCCTTCATGCTTCCATGGCTTCTCTGGCTCTGGTTCTATAGATCCGCCAACCCGGTTTCTTGTGGTTTCAATAGACCCAACTGTAAAAAGCTCCATTTTGGTGATGGTTTCGGGTTTGATTGATGGTAGCTCCTGGTTCATATATGTGTTCGAAACGCAAGATTTGACCTCGGAAAAACGCCTCTTCGACGCTGCACATTTGATTTCCCGGCAAATTAAAACTGGCTCCATTGAAATCAAAGTCGTCTTCTTCTTGGTGTTGGTCGGAAAATTGTTTTCCGGGACGATTAGTTGCAGGTTTTCCGGTGGCCAAATCGCACAGAGATAAAGCTTTTTCACCATCGTAAAAAAAATTAAAAAAAACAAAGAAAGGGTATTTTTGTTCTTTTTCATCATTTAGTTTCAATTTTGTTGCAAACGAAACAGACATATTCCAATTCATTAGACAAATTACATTCCATTTATGTCAACCAAACACTTGATCAAACCTAATAACATTTCATTTCAATTTCTTCCAAATTCCAATTGCTTTGACAGATTTCATTCCTTCAGAAATCATTCTGCGAACCAAACACCCCTTAAGTATCCGCAATAGTTTATGCATACCTACAAATCACTCGGACAATCATGAATAACATAAGTCATATAACACGTGAATATTAATGTCCACAAGGGCTTTTGACAACATATAAATTCAAACATAAAAAATATAGAATTTCCACTATATCCTTTTAGTTTTAACCAATACATCACACCCCAAATGGTTATACATCTGCTACTAATTCACCTTGCGCATCGTTATTATTGATGTAAATATAATACGTTTCTTTGGTTGCAGAAAATGATACTCCCTCTTAAATAACCCCGCAGTGCCGAAACTCAAGTCCCAATGTCCCATCTAACCCAAAACAAAACCTAAAATAAGGAAACCCTAAAATTCTTTGTTTTTTTTTATTGGATCAATCTTTGTATCAAGCGAGATTTATGGATGGGTTTGAGATTAGAGGTGATCAATAGTGCAGATCTCTTCTTATGCTTCTCATCGTAACGTAACTCTACTTTGCACATCATCATTCATCTTTATAACTTATATATATGTTTTTCATTATAGATATTTATTTTAGAATGAAGATAACAAAACATATATAAGTTTTGATGATTAACCAAAACAATGGAGAATTATCTTGTACGTTGTAACTTGCACATGCAAACACGTGATCTTCACATTATCACCATATCTTAAATAAGCTTGTACAAATTAATTATTTCATTAGAAATAAGTAGGGAACGGGGTAGGTAATGTATCTTTCGTCCTTTGTTTAAGCAAGGCCATGTTGGAAGATTTATCAATCTGAGATTTCAAACATGACTCCAAAGAATTTGGGGTCCCCGAATTGTTTAGGGGTCCAATTTTATATGTTTCATTTTTAATTCAATTCTTTCGGCTTTTCTCCCTCTTACTGATCCATTTAGGCAATCATAATGTTTTAACAATTGTGCCTAATACCCCAGATTCTTCTAAGTCCTACCAGATTTGGTGATTTGTCAGTTCTCGATTACGGGTTGCAAATTCGCAATCTCATCTCCTTAGCTCTCTAAATTGCCGACTAATCAACTAGTCTCATTCATCCTTATTTTCCTCATATCTAATTTTATGATTGAAGCACCAAGCAAGACCCCATTTAATAATTTTTCTCTTTCTTGTTCAACGAGCGGCCTCACTTACAATTTCTTTGATTTTGTTCGTTGTCGTTGTTCATAGCACGGTAACTATTTGAAAACACTAAAAAAAGTTGATTGTTGAGAGAGAATTTGATCCTAAAACCGAGCTAAGGTTTCTTGAGAAATTTACATAAAGAACAATATTGGTAAACTCATGTATCCTAATCCTTCAATTCAATGGCTTATTGGAAAAAGTTGATTACAATAAATTGATTGAAAAGTTGGATTTGAATAATTTTAGAAAAATGATTCTATATAATTGAATTTTGTATATTTCTTTGTCATTTAAGACATTTTTGTTGTTTTAATTTATAATTATCTATACTATTTTATCTTTATAAAGCAAATTTAACAAAAGTTTTAAAGTCTTAAAATACTAAATGACCAAGATACCCTTATCTATACTATCTCACTTTTTCACCCCCTCATCTCCTCACATACACTCATCCCCTCACATATACTCACCCTCTCACATTTAAAGGATTTTTTTTAAATTATAATTTTAAAATTACACTTTATATCCCTATAATTAGTTAATTAATTTATTTTACGTCATTTACTTTTAAATGTTTCATTTTAAACATTTATCAAATTAACATACATAATCGTATAKCAAWTAAAACATGTTTAAAAAATACATTTTTATTTTAACAAGTTACACCATTATAATCGTCTCGTTAATACCTTCGAAATGAGTYCAATATTGAATAGTTTTTGACTTAATTATATTATTATATATTATATATATTGTGAAAAAATATTTTTAATATTTAGGATTTATACTTTTATAGTTATTTATTTATATATATACTATATATTTTGGGGTTAGGTTGTACAAATTGCATTGTATAATATGTTCTGAATTAATATGTTTTTGGTTTTTTTTGAAATATATATATATATATATGTATTTAACAAAAGTCTTAAAGTCTTAAAATACTAAATGACCAAGATACCATTATCTATACTATCTCACTTTTTCACCCCCTCCTCTCCTCACATACACTCACCCCCTCACATATATTCACCCTCTCACATTTGAAACGATTTTTTTTAAAATTATAATTTTAAATTTACATTTTATACCCCTACAATTAGTTAATTAATTTATTTTTCGTCTTTTACTTTTAAATGTTTCATTTTAAACATTTATCAAATTAACATACATAATTGCATATCAATTAAAACATGTTTAAAAAATACATTTTTATTTTAACAAGTTACACCATTATAATCGTTTCGTTAATATATTTGAAATGAGTCCAATATTGAATAGTTTTTTACTTTATTATATATTATATATTATATATATTGTAAAAAATTATTTTTAATATTTACGATTTATACTTTTATAGTTATTTATTTATATATATACTATATATTTTGGGTTAGTCTGTTCAAATTGCACTGTATAATATGTTCTGAATTAATATGTTCTTGGGTTTTTTTTAAATATATATGTATTAATTCAACCTTAATCTGAGTTTCTGGACAAAAAAGAGGGTAAGCAGTTGAAATTTCATTCTAAAAYCCATMTTTTTTKRTCTTTTCATGGCTTATGATCTGTCAAATTTGTAGTTTTCTTTATTGGTTTTGAGTGTTTATCTTAAAACTCAAGTTTATTGGTTCTTTGCTCTTGGTGTAAATCGAACACATTTGTGGAGTTGTTTATATATGTTGGATTTTAAACTGTCATACAATTTTTTTCATCGTAGTCTGTAATTGGAACCATAACTTTTATTTATTCAAATTGTATTAATATGTAAAGACCAAGTGTAACATATATCATCGTTAAATCTTATCTTATAAAACCAGTGGAACTTCAAAATTGTTAAAATTCATGGCTCCCGCCGCATTGCGCGGGTACACAACTAGCATTAATATAATATGTGACAAACTTCATATTTTGTTTTATTCGTTGCTTATTCAACTCAATTTGTAGTCTTGGTACTAATATAACACGGTCTCCTAAAAAGATTGGAATAGTCCTGCATCACCCGACCAATCCCCGGCAAGTTCTGGGGGAAGAATCATTCTGAGTGTTCAGATAACCCGTTCAGTTACCAATATTGAATCATCACTACATTAATTACCAATATTGAAAAATATAGTTTGGGATGATCTATAGTTTTAATAAGAGTGTAACAGGGCATCCAAAAAGATTGGAACGGTTCTGTTGGTTGCATCTCACTTCGGTACATCTCATCCTAATATGCATCTAAGGGTAGAGATCTTTTCTTACCGTTCTCACTTTAACTCTTCTCATCAGAACCCAATCTTATGTATTCATACACATAATTAATATACATATATTTAACAAAATAAAAACTATAATCGAGATCAATTAAGGACTGACAATGATATTCTTGATCCCGCTTCGGGTATTAATATAAAACCGTCCCCGCCCCCACAGGTAATATTAATAAGGATCAAGTTGATAGCCTGGTGTCGTAATAGTTGCAATATCATTAAGAAGCTAACCTAACACAGAATAAAGATTGATTAAAAAATTAATTAAGAATTTAAGATGTTGGGACGTTGTATGTGGGCTATAATTTTCACTCAAATTGCATCATATGATATAAAGATATCACCATCAAAACTTTATTATGATTAATACTAATCACAAATAACATGTTTAATGGTAGAATTAATTGTATATTCGCTTAATTACCGACCAATTTGATAGTTACCGGTGCATGCAAGAAGGATTATATATATATATACACACACACTTGGGATCATGTTAGACCAACCTGTTTTCGTGAGACCACTTTGAAATTTCACAGCAAAACACAGTAAAGGTACAAAAAGTCGAACCTTCACAGCAAAA